AAAATTAGTAACAACATTTTTATTTGGTTAGACGATATTTTGTCTCAATTTGCTTGGGGAAGTCAAACGAAAAAAATTTGTTTGAATAATCACGTCGAAATATATTTAAAACAAATTATTTAAATGACGGGGGTACTAAAGTCTTTTTATAACAAAAGTAGGTAAAAAATAAATAACTAAATAAAAAGTTCAACATTAAACATCTTTTTTTTGTTATATTGCAACTGTAATTATTAAAATGTTAACTTTAACAATATTTACTTATTATTTAGAACGACTTAGCAATAAATAAAAAGCCCCTAAAATTATGTGATATTGTGTTAATTTATTCTAAGATCAGAAAATCGTATTTGTTCATATAGTATGTAAAATGTGTTAGAGTAAAAACAAAATTTTATTGTGTGACATTCAGAACTACCCGAATTTTGCGCGAGAAAGTCAGACGTCACATCGCCTATTGCTTAGTAAAATTTTCATTAGGTGTTTTCACAAGTTACGGCACATAAATTGGGAAATACTAAATATAATGTTTTTTAATGCGCGTTGCGATATTTTAACAATTTAAATTACTATCCGTCTTGAGTTGTTGCCATAAATTAATGTGGTCATTATTGCGTTAATTAATAATAATTTGTTCGTATTTTTGTTAAATGTTAATTAAATAAAACGGGCAAAAATATACGTCCTTCATGTTTTCAATTTGATGGTTATAAAGTATTGAACAGTAAAATTATTTAAAATTCATAATGCCGGCTTGTGCTGTTATTGCTGTTATATATTTTTGACGCATTAGCCATAACAACATTAAAACTTTCATATCTGATGTTACTGACAACTGTATTGTTTGGTGTGTTCTTGTTCTTTTTTTTTTATAACCTTAACAGGATCTAATTGGTATGGAGTTGCCGACATTTCAAAAGTTTCGTTATCAAAAATCAAATGCAAAATGAAATGATTTTTTTTTATCCATATCCAATTTAGCAAGTTCAGCAATTTAAACTTAATCAGTGTAATCAAAAAATTTTTATAATAAAAAAATTTAACAGTATATCAAATATCTCTAGTTAAATGAAAGCAATTGCTTGTAATTACTTTTTTTGGACAGAAAAACAAAAAACTTCATAGCGTAAAAATGACCAGAGAAGTTAGAAAGTTTTGATTGTTTAATGTAAGATTTAAAATATATAATACTGCGTTCTCTTGCACAAAAACGAGAGACCGTATATATAATGTTCTATATAATGTAAAATACTCGTAAGAAAATCATAAGATTGGTAAGTAAAAACAAAAGAAATATAAGTAAGATATATAAATCGAAAAATTATTAAGATATCTGTAAAAAACAAGTTGCTCCTATAAAATAAAAATAATTTATCATTTTTTCTTTTTACAATTTTTTTTTTTTTTGATGTTTAGAAAAATAATACAAATAAATTTGTTTTGCTGTATGTTAAAAAAATACTACAGTAGAAAAACGCAGCTTAGTTTAATTACACTTTTCTTTTGTTAAAAGTCTACCATGACGCCAAATACTAAAACTTTTATGAATTAAACGCGCTTCAAAGGAATTGCCAAAGTCTGTAGATTGCGACGCATAATTTAAAGACTCCGAGTAGTTGAAAAAAATGAAGAAGACGAGCTTCGGCAAAAACAACAACATTTGTTTTTTACGGTATGCACTCATTATTTATTTTTAATCAAAAAAATTTGGTTCAAACCTTTTTTTTTAACATTATCTTTAATATGAACACAACATGTGTTGGGAGTTTGGGATCCCTTTAAATGGTTTTTTGAAGTAGCTTGGTTAAGTGGTTTTTTTTCAGCGTCAATATAGTCGCCAAGATTTTTAAAGTACAACAACCAATAATCAGATGGAGTTAAGTCTGGAGAGTATGGCAGGTACCAAACTATTGTAATTCCAACTTGGTTAAGATAAATTGTGAGGGTTTGAGTAAAATGTAAAAGTGCAATCATGGAAAAATTTAAAATTTTGAGTGTATGTTACAGGTCCTTGCTTTTTTTATTTTGCATACTCAACTCTACTCTTGTGATTTTGATTGGTTAACTCATGGGTTATCCAAAGTGATGCTAATTTTATTTTTTTAATTACTGTGAATTTTATTGATTATAAAATTAATAATAATTAATATATAAATATTTAATTATTTCCTGTCTTATTGAAACTTTAAAGAAGAAGTTCTAGAAACTTTTCTAATGACCTAAGTATAAACAATAAACATGTACAATATTTGTAAACATAATTTAAAGAATAAGAAACTGAAACTAAAAAATAAATCAAAGAAGTGGAAAATATAAAACTTAAAACCTGAATGGTTTGTAAATTGGCAAGTAAAACGGATTGACTTCTATGCTGATCAAGTAATGATTGATTTTCTTGCATCAATCTTTTTTCGGCTTCTTGGATAAGATATTTTTCAGTTGAAAGTGATTTTAATGACACCTCACAGGTAATCAGCTTTTCACGCATTTCATGATAATTCTAAATTTTATAACTCAAAAAATAAAATAGTATTTAGTAATAAACTTATAATTTTTTTATTACTATTATCTATTACTTATTAATTTTATTACTATTATCTTTACTTATTCACTTTATATAATAATATAAGGAAATGTAAAAAATGATTTATTTTTTAAATGCATATTTTAAAATTCTTTTTATCTTAAAAAATAAGTAAAGATTATGCTACATAATTTATATATGTATATAGATGTATAATTGATCATCGATTGATATCTTTATTGATCATCAAATAATATAATTATGTACATAATTATGTACATAGATGTATAATTGATCATCAATTGATATCTTTATTAAAATGATTATGTTGACTTTACAGACTTTCTAAATTACATAAATTTGCAATTTCATTGTTTGTGAATAGAAAGTAGTGCAATATGAAAGATATTTCTAACAGCTGCTTTCTAACTTGATGTTTACTACTAGGATTAACCAAAATATTTTTACCATCCTGGACTGAGCCATGTTTTTATTATGTAATAATTGTCATTTATATAAACTGGCCGATTATTATGTCATTAATATCATTTTTATAGCCTGGCTGTACTTATATTATAAATACACCAATATTGAAAAAAAAAATTATAACACTCCTTACAAGCATGATTTTATGCTCCTGTTGTATATATCTGTTCCTATTGGGCAAAAAATAATAGAGTATGTTGCCTATTTTTGTACAACGCAAAATTCCTAAATGGTTTGAAATTCCCAAAGGTTCATCATAGTAAAAAAGAAAAAATATGTCAGACTCAGATTTAAAGGGTTGAAATGAAGTTTATTGATTTTTTTAAGAAAAAATGTATTCTCAATAGCAAGCAAGATCATTTATTTGAAAGTTAAAAAAACTCAATTTTCTTATTGAAGTTATTCTCTAGATTTTTTTAATATTATTTTGAATTATTCTTATTATTCAAAAACTCTTCTTATTATTCAAAAACTCTTTATTTTACTGTTTATCTTAAGTTAGGGAAATTAAACAAATCTTTGCATATTAATAAATAATAATATACTTTAAAATAAATTATTATTTTAAAATATTATTTATTATATTAAAGAAATTAAAAATACTTTCGATAAACTAAAATTGCCCAGAAAGTACACTGAAAATAACAACAAGTATCATTTATGTTTTTTGCATGAAACATAAAAAATAAAACATGTTACTTGCATAAAACATAAAAGAAGATAATTAAATATACATAAATTAGCTGTCCTGGCCCGTAAAATATGGGCCTTGGTAAATCTATTCAACACCGACCTTATCTATACTTACTCGTTACTTCAATATTTTTTAGTAAGCTGCAAATAACTATATACATATAAAAAAAAACTGCATACATATAGAAAAACTATACTTATTGTTTACTTTTTAAAGCTCTGAAAAAAAAAATTTCTGATTTAAATAACCTTAAAAAGCTTTAAACGTTTCATAGCCGTTGCGCAAATCGCTATTTATCAACGGATTGGATATTAGTATCTGTCTTAATAATATACAGAATACCTGCTTGAAATGTGTTAAATGATTACCATCGGTAAAAGTTTCAAAAAACATGAGGAAATACATGAACTAACATACTTGCAGAACATTTTTTGAACTTGCCATGGCAAGTTCATTTTTTTTATTTTTAATTTTTGTTATTTAAAATGCAAAATAAAACAACTTTATATCTTTCAAAATAAACTTCTTTCTTCAAAAGTGTTTTATTTTGTATTTAAAAAAAAATCAAAACAGATTAAATTAAAAAAAAAATACCCTTCAATCAGGGTTGGGAAAAACCCGGGTTTTTTTAAAAAAACCCGACCCATTGGTTTTTTTTGGGTTTTATTGGGTAAATTTGGGTTTTTTTGGGTTTAATCTTTATTTTGTCCTTGTTTAATGATATTGAAAATTAGTTTTATTTTCTACTTTAACTTTACTCAAAATATATTTTATATACCATTATTTAATTATTTATAACAAGAATTTTTCAAATTATTTTGAAAAAGATTTTTAAATATAATTTAAAACTGTAATAGAAAAAACAAATTTCACGCTTAATCTATATGTATTGATTTATTTTAAATTTAAAAGTATTATTCTATATAATTAAAAATGTCAATGAGAAAATGGAAAAAAAAAGGCCAGAGAATGGGAGATAGTAACTGAAGTTTTTTATCTCCCAGAGAATGGGAGATTATAACTTTGAACTTGAAATTCAAATGAACAAACTTGTTCCGCTGCGCAGCAGCCTTGTTTATAAAGATTTGTGTTTAGGAGTTAAAGAGTTGAGAGAGAATTGTAACCACAACAAGGTAGCCTCCTCGACTGTTGTGTTGGCTTCTCTGGTCACTACTACTCATTTAAATCTAACTTGGGAAGTGAATAACATAAAGTAATAAAAATCTCAATCGATAAAAATATTTGCATAAAAATTGTAATAATGTATTTCCAAATAATGATTTAAATAATAGTAAACCTGCTCTGATAGCTGTTATTGTTGGTTATAATAGTTAATAATAATAGTTAATAATATAGTTAATAATCATTTAAGTTAAAAATATTATAGTTATAATGTTAAAGTTGGTTATAATAGTTCATAAACTTATTAAATATCTTTAAAAAAATCCAATAAAACCCAGATTTTCCAGGGTTTTATTGGGTTTTTTTAGGCAGGTTTTTTTGGGTTTTATTGGGCGGGTTTATTTGGGCGGGTTTATTTGGGTGGGTTTTTTAATGCCAACCCTGCTGCCAAAGGTAGGAATCGAAACAGGGCCTTCGCATTAGAAATCCTGCGTGCTATCCACTCGACTATGGAGACATGTTATCCAGTAAAAGTTTTAAAACTATATAATAATAATTAAAAGACTTTATAAAATGAAAATAAGTGCAACAGAATTTTAAGAAGATGTTGTCGCAATGCAATTTTCAAGTGAAAGTAAAACTATAAAACTTGATATATGTTTTAGTATGTTTTAACATCTTATAATTTGAATTTTTCTTTAAATTTTTTTTTGAAGTTAGATATTTGCATACACTTTTGTTGACTTTTCTTATAATAAAAAGTGCTGTGGCTCTTTCTCGCTATTACCTTGGTTGCAATGGCTTCCAAGAGTACTGTGTCAAACACACTCAAATGAGTACTGCTAAGTTCCTTATTATAATATGATTATCATAATATTTTTTAATTTTATTTACAAATGAAAAAGTTTAATTTACAAAAACAATATTCATAAATGCAGGCCTTGTTAAGAAGCGTTTCCCTATTTGAGTTTTACATACGTATTTACGATTTCACGTACGCATTTTGCAATTTACGTTACGCAAAAACTTTTTTCAATAAGTTTCGATAAACAGTCTTTTAAAACAGATTAATCGGAAAACATTAAACTGTAATTAATTGTTGTAAAAAAACGTTTGTGAATTTTTTTTTTTTTTATAACAGATAGATATACTTTTTTCTATATTCCGTTTTTTTTTAAAAAAAAATTATAATTTATTTTATTAAATTTGAATTAATTTTATTATTATTCATAATTTTAGTAATTAATTTGATTAAATTTAATTAACATTCTTTTAAAAATTTAAAAACGCACCGTTTTACAATTTTTTTTTACTGATAAAATTTTTAAAATTTATGTTAAAGTAAAAAAAAAAAATTTAATAAATTTAATTCAAGTAACTTTAAAATGTTCACATTACATATAACTTCATTTTAATTTCAGTTAAGTTTCAGGTAAGTTCCAGTTGCAAATATTGGTCTAAATAATGCACTTTTGTAGTTAAATGACGTCATACAAAAAAGTTCTTTCAAACTCGAGTTTAAATGTTGTTTGGGTTTTTCCTTTGCCGTTAAGTTTTATGTATTAGAATTTTTTTTATAAAACGAACCAAATTTTAAACTGATTAAAAATAATGCAATCAATAAATAAACTCTTTAAAAGCCCAACTTATGTTTATTTTGTTTTAAAAACAAAACTAATACTAGTGCTATAGATATAAGATACATAAATTTTAAAATTTTACCGATATTTGTTAAAAACAAGTTTTGCTAATAATATCTTATAACCAAAAATACTATTTTTCTTTTTGGATTTAGTAAGAAATAGTAAAAATACTTTAGGTTTCATGGTACATAAAAATAAAATATTTTAATGGAAATAAATAAAATAATAAAGCCGAAAAACGGTAATCTTCATTTAATTACAATTTTTAATTTAATCAAAAGCCAGTTAACGCAAAGGTTTTTTAAAAAGGGGAAAACCCAATCTAACTGTGTAGAAGTACACTTAAATCCTTTTAAGAAAATCAACCATAAACAAGTGTGCACTCATTTAAAAAAAATAACCGTAAAAATAATGTTGTAAAGAAAAAAAATTAAGTTTAAAATTTTAATTGTAAATAAGTATAAGATTTTAAAACAAGGAAATCATTTTTTAATCAACATTTAAATTTAATTTATAACTTTTTTTTATAACAATATTGTTTAATTTTAAAATATTTTATTTAAAAGACAATAATTTCTAATGTATTTTTAAATTGAATTACATTGAGGTATTTTAAAATACGCAACTGACACAATTAAACTTTTAACAATGTAAATATCTTTTTTAAATAAAGTTACATTAATTCAAGTTGCGCTTTTCCGTTATGCATCAAAATCTCATAACAAGGCCTGTAAATGCATATATTAACTTATAATTTACAAATACAAAATTTACATAAACTTTGTATTTGTATATTAAAAGAAAAATCAACTTTTGTATTTAATATACTTTTTTATATATTTATTTACCTAGTATATCAGATATTTAAATGCGCTGATTAAATTTAACTGTTGCCCTCGTGTGGTGAACCAATTTCATTCTGCCCCTTAACTGCCTTTTTTCGCTTATTTAACTTAATTCTTAAATAAATGAAAGTTCTTTTAACTTTCTATTCTACTGAAATTGGAGAGCCACACAAGTCTCTCATTTAA